TTAATATCCCGTGTGCGCCAGCTGACTGTGGCCACAATGATGCGATGCTGAGGCGACAATGAAGACGTGCGTAGGCGACAATGATGCCACAAAAGCCAAAGCTTTCGCGAGAACTGTACTGTATGCTGGTTTACTAAACGCTTGCGTATGGAAAATGGTAAACAATCTTGTCTGCTAGCAATATCCTGCTTTATGGTCCCGTTGGTGGCGCCATTTCGGCAACACTCGTAATGCCGAAAAAACTCGAAGGTGACGGGAAAGGGGGCGTGGCCCGGTTTTGGAATATCATTGACTGTTTACCCAATTTATATACCCTTTTCACTTGATTTTTTTTCATAATGTTGTTCATAAATAAATTTTGCACACAAAAAAGTCAATTGGCCCAATTCAGTTACACTTTAATCGTCCGCTATATTAATAACTGCAAGTACCAAACTGTGAGGAATAGTAGTCCGGATGGCGACGGTTATATCGTAATTACCGTAGTTCTAAATCACTGAGTCGAGTTTTGTCCAGGACTTCGCATGAGCCTAAACGATGACAGATATAACACAACCATTCACTAGTAACCAGCTAAATAAGTCGGTCAACAGATACGCGAAAACTAATTCGTGACACTTTCTTGACAGGCTGCATCGATCGTGTCAAGTATTTGCATAGGAACCAAATCAAACAAACCCTTTTGTGAAAATATTTTTTTCGTTAAAGTTTGTTACACACAAGGCACGGGTATTCGCAATTGTGATGTCGGTAATGTTTTACTAAAAGTCGTGAAAATGGTCTCCAATGTTGACAGAAACGTTTGGCTCCTCTGGTCATCTACAGGTGGCCGAAGTCAGTTAAAACTGCGTACAACGTTGTGAAAGGCGACTGAGAGGTTGGTAGATTCGCTTGGATATTTGATCTGAGTTAATTAAAAGTTAAAGCTCGTTATATAGTTACAGACTGTCATGTCGTGATACGACCACCAAGTGTTATGTTAAAAAAACAGCGTGCAAAGTAGTGAATAGCGACTGCCATATGAGAGTAAACATGTGGTTGACCGTTCTTAAAAGTTTGTAATTGCATTTAGACTTGCATTTGTTGACATTAGTGTGTCTGTTTGTACAGAAGGTGAAGATTTTCTGCTGTTCCCCTGAAATCTCAAGTGCCACCCAACATGCATATTTGTTCTACAATACTCAATGGAACTGATTCGTTTCGTTGTGAAATTCACACATATTAAATACATAATTTGCATAAATTACTCCATCTTGGTTGTTTCACAAATATATACCAGAACACATTTCGTTTAAACTTGGTACATATTTGCTTGGGGGATAGTCTACAGACTTTAATGCAAATTTATGATTTTTAACTATCTAGTTTGCTTAAATAGAATTAGCAAATTAGAATTAGATGTTCTGGGTTTAATTAGTTGGCTGAAGTACATAATTTGCATAATAATTAGTAAATTTATGATTTTCCTTTGGTATCTTAAGAATCAGTAAATCTTTCTGTTACTACATTAATTAATTTTCTACTTATTACAGCAAAACTATTTCGACAGATACAAAAATATCAAACAATTTTCTAGCTTTCCTTCCCATAGTCCCAATAATAGCCATGTGAACAAATAATATGCAACATTCTACTAAAATATAAGGGAATAACGATTTGCATTGCCCGATATTTTTAATGTTATGTGAATATCACAAAATATTATGCAAATTTTCCACTTGTACAATAATTTTCTGTCAATAGGCTTGGAACCCAATCACAGATGTGGCAGCTCATACATACACAAGAGAAACTACATCTTTCACTTTTACTTATAAGACCAGTACAGGAAACTTCCAAACCACATTCTCCCAAATATATGAATGCTGCAAGTGGGCATGATGTACAATTTTGCCACAGCCGAATGTGACAAAGCTGACAAAGGAAGTCAAACATTTGAACTCCCTTATGTTAGGTGGACATGCATACTTGCATACAGTGACAGGAACACTGGAATTTCATTGTAAAACCCATCTCAGATTTATGTTCCTATCAACAAGGCCAAGTAGGGTTGGGATTAACCATCTTTTCCTTCTTGTCGTCACAATTTACAATTTAGCAAGGTTAAAATTGTCAGATAATAGCATTTTCAGGTCAGAGTCTCTACATTGCATCAACACTGACCAATTTTAGTTATGAAAAAAGCAATGCCCCCCAAATCGTTTTTAAAATTAGACATTAGACGCATTTGATCAAGCAGCAGGATAACATCTGCAATAGACATGCAGCAGAACTATCTAGAAAAAACACACAACATGACCATTTCGAGATTAGCCATGCAGCAGGTATACTTTTACAACAGACATGAGGGAGGATTACCTTTAAAAACAGCCACACAGCAGGAGAAGCCTGAGAACAGCCATGCAACAGTCATTGAATGCCTTTGAAACAAGCCATGCATGGCACAGTCCCCATTAGTTATCAAATTTATTTAAGATATATATAGTTTTGTTTATAGTAATATAGTTTGAACATAAACATGTCAGAAGTATGGATCCAGAAGATGATGCTTGATTATGATGATTTTTTAAAATTAAAATGATTGACATCTTGTATCTGAGCATCAAATGAGTATTTATTGAGAAATATTGCTCTGGAACAGCATTAATTAAAACAAAATGGCCACCAGTTGGCTATTTTGAATACATCTATATATCTATAACATAATGTAGAACGAATATATATATAGTCAGTCAAAGCATATCAGAGATATGGCTCTAGAAGCGCATTGACTTAAACAAAATGGCCGTCAGTCATCCATTTTGAATGTGATCTGAAAAATAAAATGACCTGCATCAGGAACCCATGTCTAATGTATGTACCAAGTTTGAACAAAATCCATCCATAAACGCCAAGATCCAGTTCTGGAATGCCTGAAATGCTTGATTTGTTAGCACAAACATGGCTGCCATTTGAATCAGATAGTCAAACCAATATACCTATGTCATGATGTACAATGAATATATAAAATTTGAAGATTTTCAAAGCACGGCAGAGATATTGCACTAGAACTGCATTCATTAAAACAAAATGGCCGCCAGTCGGCCATTTTAAATGTGATGTGAAAAATAAAATGACGTGCATTAAGGTTCCATAATGTCCAACGTATATACAAGTTTAAACAAAATCCATCCATAAATGCTCGATTTTGATGATTTTTTAGCCCAAAAATGGCCACCATTCGGCCATCTTGAATCAGATCGTGAAACAAATGTGCATATGTATAATATCATGTATGATGCATGTGTGGAGTTTGATTGTGATTGGTCCAGGCATTTCTAAGATACAGGTCCGGACGCAGGGATGGACACACAAAGGTCAAAACACAAGTCCTGTTTTCAGACTGCGTCCGAACAGGGACTAATAATAGACAGATTCACTGAAAATATATGTTAAATGTTGGTTTATTTGTATTTATTTTCGCTACACTCTAAACATACTCTGAGAAAATAAACCAACAAAGCCTGTATTTGGGAAATAGCATTTTATTATTCATGAGTGAATATCCTCATGCAAATGACCAATCATCATGCATTTTAGATGGACATCACATACTGCCCTGCTTCAATAAGTAATGGAAGGGAGGTTTCACTGACTGGTGCATTTTCAAGATACTAAATACTACAAAGTAGACACATCTTACAATTATAGTTTTCTTGCAGTAACCATCTATTGCTGCAAAGAGGCAGGGTTTTACAACAATGGTTCAAGAACGCGCAAAATTTAAGTTGAATAATATCCACTACCTTCCAATATGGATTATGGTATAAATTTTTCTGACTGAATCACATCTATAAAAAAAAAAAATATATGCTATATTGGACATGCTTTCAGAAAAATGGTGAGGAGCTCTATTAGTTCAGGTCTTCCAATTTTCTATGCTGCACATTTACACAATATATACAATACATTAGTAAGGTATTAGTAATTCTAGTAATAATTCCAGACAAACAAAGGAAAGAAATTCATATGACAATAGTCTACGTGGAAAAATATAAATCGAAAAAAAAAATTTCATTAAAATATTGAGTTAGTCACACTTCTTGTATGTATGTACTGATGAGCATGAACCTATCAAGCATTGCTATTGGACTTCATGATAATACAGATTATCATTATATTATTATTACTGAAACCTTAAAATAACAAAGACGTCATGAATCTGGTGGTATTCTGGGAATTACTGGCAGTATTAAATTTCCAAATGATGAGTCTTGTGTGATGAAAAAAGCTGCAGAATTGGCGTGGGCATGCTGTCGGGAAAAAAAGAAAAATCACATTGAGATCTACAGAACATGCAAAGAATAGATTTATTATTTATAGCAATCTTAACCATTGAGCCCTAAAATCAGCTTCAGGCACCATTCACAAAATAGTTCCATTTATCGTCTGCTCTTTTCCACATCAAATCAAATTTTTTGGATTGAAAACTAGAAGCAATGTCACATTTTATTTCTTTGCTCCAAAATTAAATTATAATTCAGTGAAAATTACAAAAAAATGTGAACAAATTCACGCCAATTTGCGCAGGAAAACAATTTTGCACTCATAGGGTATATGTAATTGCACAAAATCTATTTCACTAATTTAGTTTAAATTTGGACCTAGTAATCAAAATTACATCACCATAGACATAAATCGTTCCCTGTTAGTTTTCAAATCTAAGTATTAGGAGATAATGCTGGGAACAGCATTAATTAGAACCGCAATCATTAAAACAAAATGGCTGCCAGTTGGTCATTTTGAATCTGATTTGAAAACAAAATGTTGTGCATCAGTGACATATACTGTCTTATGGATGTACCAAATCTGAACAAAATCCATCTGTAAACAGCCGTGAAATGCTTGATTTTGATGATTTTTCAGTACAAAAATGGCCATCGGTCAGCCAATTTGAATCGGATCATCAAACCAATACATTTGTATATCTATCTATGACATATAATGAATATATACAATTTGAACATCAGTAAAGCATGCCAAAGAAATGGCTCTTGAACCGCAATCATTAAAACAAAATGGCTGCCAGTTGGTCATTTTGAATCTGATTTTGAAAACAAAATGTTGTGCCTAAGTGACCTATACTGTCTTATGTATGTACCAAGTCTGAACAAAATCCATCTGTAAACAGCCGTGAAATGCTTGATTTTGATGATTTTTCAGTACATAAATAGTCGCCATTCAACCAGCTTGAATCAAATTGCTAAACAAATTAATGTGCATATGTATAATGCTATGCATGGTGTATGTGTGAAGTTTGAGTGTAATTGGTCTAGGTATGTCCAAGATATAGGTCTGGGCGCACAGACACACGAACATACACATGGAGGTCAATCCATAATAAGCAGATTTAAATTTAATGTTATGGCAGCAACACGCCCCTCCAGACCTATGAAGCGATGATGATGACATTAACATTAAATTTTCCAACTGTTGATACATCAGCAATGATTCAGTTTCTCGGATCCGTAATTGTAATGGCAGACCTCATTTAATAATAAATTTAGTTCTGATGTATTAAAACTACAAGTAAGTATAATGTGAAATGTTCAATATTAGCCACTGTAATTCATGACACAAAGATTTGCGTTATTATACCTCACCTGTAAGGCAGTTCTTTGGGACATCGCTAAATGATGTGCCTCAGTTGGATCTCTTAAAACCTATAGAATAATAACAATATACCATTATAATAAAATACAACCATCTTTTCTACTCAAATATTACAATATTTATTACTGGTTGTTTGTGTCTAAAAATATTGCCTGTATGGAGGAAGAGCAGCATTCTGAACAGAGCTGTCATATTAGAGACGAATTTTTTTTGCAACAAGCCTCTCAGCTGGAATGAATATAAAGCATTAACAAAATCTGGCAGACACCACAACTATGGCTGCTTAGCAATGGTCTAAAAAATCCAGTTGGACAACAGTATTCCCAGGATACTCCAGCTCTAAATTATGTATTTGGGCAACAGGAAAGTGATAAAGAAAGAAATTATAATCATTTATCATGATTGTATAGTCTACATTGTACATATGTCACTGCATACTGCTAAGAGTGGATAATTCAGTTCCCACATTAGTGTAATTACCACTATATGACAGTTGAGTTGAAGCATATATACAAGGCAGAATTTCATGCATCAAAAAAAACTTAACAAGCTGATCTCTGATTGGTCTGACTGTTAGGTATTATGGTTGGACAGCCAATCAGGCACAACCTTTAAAGTAGCTTTGGATTGACTTCTACACATGAACCATAGAAACATGTCCAGAGTCATTAGATCAGCATGGCATACTCTGAATATAGTTAATTTACTGTAAATATTTTTATTTTTACTGATATCATTTTTTACAATTTGAGATTTTATGAAAACCACAATGACTCGCCGTTTTACAGTCACTATGAGAATTATTAGTATAGACAGTTGGCAAGAAGGCTTGCAACTTTGCAGAACACTATGGTTTCTGTCCAATCTTGACGGCATGTCTCACTGACTTTGAATAACGCACACAGTTTTGATCAATTAATTTTTGCTAGCTGAATGTACGATTATAAAAATCATAGATACAGGAAATTTGTGAGCATTAGCCTCTCACAAAATGAATATGGTTCACAATCAGAGTTATAACAACAAAATATCTTTGGTCTAACTACTAGTATGTAATGTTGCAGCAAGTCTCGGAAGTATTGCAGCAGCACTGATATTACAGCAACATATTGTACATGTATGTGGCACACTATCGAACATCTGTTTAAACAGACACGCAGTGGTATGCAAAAGAATATGCTACATCACACAGAGGTGTGTTTCTAAGGTGGGGGGGGGGGGTTATACCAATAGAAAATATTTCAAATAATAATGCAACTGAATTGTCTACATATTTGACATGAAGACCTCTGACAATTCCCAGTAGTCGCAGTACATACCGGTAAGACTGGTTCTTTTACTGGCACTGGTCTTTGTATTGTCTGATTGCCTGGAACAACACTACTGGTACTGGACATACTGGAGTATTGGACAAAATAAAATGTTAAACACAGATCATAAATAGCATCACAAAATACATATTTTACATATACACATACAAAACACAATTATTAACAAATTTATCCTGTCATTTGTGAAGCATAATTTGTCAAATGTCTGTTTGTTCATCCATCAATAAGGAATTTGGGACTAGACCTTCATGAGACTGAAAATGTTGAGATATGCATTGTATCAAGGATTTATAAGAAAAGGGTATGCAAC